CCCAACAGTGTCCTCAAAGCGGTACAAAGAAAACGCTGATGACCGACTTATACTACAGCTCATGTGTGCTTTTGTTTTGCATAATCACGTCGTAATAAGTCGTTTATGTGAGGAGCACAACTTCGAGAGGCAAAGGTTTAATGTCACTTAGCTATTGTCGACAGTGATATCCGCTTTTTTAAATCGCAAAACAACAATTGCATAATTAATGACGTAACCTCGATTAGTAGTCTAAAGTGTTAATCTATAAGATTTATCATCTCATATCGTTGATTCCTGTATCAAGACAAGTGCTGCTTTGCTAAAAAGGATAAAAAGTAATTCAATGATTCACTCATAAACATTCAAGATATAAATATATTCGATTTGGACAAAAACATGAATTCGATATGATGAAGACTGGAAATAAGGTCGAAATTTGTTTTGAGTTTTAGCTTCATTTTTTTAATGCAGTCTGGCGCATGACGATGACGGAGGCACCGCTTATGATAATGGCGGCTCCAATCATACTGTAAAAGTTAATGGACTCGCCGAGAACCAAAGCATCAAGACACATGACAAAAACCACGTCAAAATAGCGCATGACCGATGCGATTCCCGCGTTAACAGTTTGGAAGCCTTTGGTGAGAAACCACTGCCCCATTAGCGAGAAGAAGGCGCAACAAACGATGGAGACAAGGAATCGTGGGTCTGTTGGCAGCTCGAATTTCTGCAATTTACAACAGTTGAAAGTGTTAGTTCCGCTAGTATTTTGAAACCAATTGTGAGCCTATTAATTCTTACCACTCCGAGAGCCCAGACTATAAAGGTAGAATAAAAAGCCCCAAACATGAGAAAGTAGTGAATCACAAGCACACTATCCAGATTTTTCATCTTCCGCATAGAAATGTATATAATGGCTTGTGAAATGGATGAACCCACAGCACAAAGGATTGCTAACATCGGTGGGCTACTTTCTAGATCTTGCGATGGGAACAAAATTGCTGGCCTCGTCACGAAAAGCACACCGACAAAAGAGGTGATTCCACCAAAAAAATCGACATAATCGATGGCTTCTCCAAGTACGATAGCCGCCTAGATCCATACATATAACAAACAGGCAACCGTTAAACTATCATATACAATACCTCACAGCCGAACGCACCAAAAAAAACGTAAAAATTGGTGATGTAAATATGATAACGATAGCGTCAGTTAGCGGCATATTTGACATAGCATAAAATGCCATTGTAGTGCCCAATGATCCCATCAAGCAGCGGAAGAACAGCAGAAAGCGGTCTTGCTGCCTAACAAACATATCGGTCTTGTTGTAATGAACCCACAACTGTGGAAAAGAGATCAATAATTGTAGGCAAGTGAGAGAAATAGAGCTGACGTACGCAGCTCATCGCTAAACCGATTACCATACGCCAAAATACGAGAATGTTAGACTTGGCGTAATGACTTGCATATTTTACGCACACCGATACGATGCTAAAGAGGAAGGCGGCAATGATAATGTATCCCAGCCCTCCAATCTTTTCCAGACACCAGGACGTACAGGATCTCGATGGAAGAACAACAACAATCATCTCTTCTTCAACAACCTTGGGCATTTCCTCAGTCAGTGTATTGGGTTTTAGTAATGGTATATCATCACGACCAGCTTCGTCATTCGATTCTGAATTCCCAGAAGATTTCTTGATGATATCTGTGTCGATTTTTTTCGCTTTAGGCGGAAGTGGGGTCACGATCGCTTGATCACGTGCGCTCTTGTGAGAGAACATTCGCTCTAGGATTAATTGATATTTTATTGCTCCGACAAGGAAGTTGTTAGAAAACAACTGCTTTGAACGTAAAACTTGACATGTTCTTTATTCAAGCACGTTTCAGATAAGATCAAAGAAAAGCAATCACTGAAATAGCCAAACGGTGTTCTCTAGATATAAACTTAAAAGTAAAACGTGTATACAACGATATTGTTTTCCGCCGTTGCAGGTAACGATCAAATTTATAGTTACATTAGAATTTTCGTACAAAAGTATTGAATGTTAGTTATAAGCTATAACAGTTTATTGATAAAAAAAAGAGCAAAAGACGACTGGGAAATAATAAAAGAATTTCTTGAATTCTATTAAGTTTTGTCGTTTAAATGACCTGGAAGTTCATTACTGTTCACGGGCTCGGCGCAAGACAATCATTGAGACTCCAGCCATAATTATACCGGCTCCAAGAAGACTTAAGAGACTCACCATCTCACCTAAGACTAAGACATCCATCGCTACAACAAATACAACGTCAAAGTAGCGCATGACAGATGCAATTCCTGCTTGCTCTAACTGAAATCCTTTGGTAATGAAAATCTGACCGATGAATGAAAAGAAGCCGCTGCCAAACAATGCAAATAAAAAAATTGGTTCCAGCAAAATCGTCATGCTCTGTTAGACATCAAATATCAAGATTCAAATCAATAAACACTTCACGGATGAACAAGACGCACCACTTTCATGACCAAAAGTGTTACGATTGAGGTACATGTTCCAACGACAAAGAAGTAGTGAATCGAAACTAGACAATCAACTTTACTAAGTTGACGAAGTAAGATATAGACCACCGCGGATGTCAGCGAGGCGCCAATAGCACAATAGGTAGCCAATGGTGGTGCCTGCTTGGTAATAGTATCAGAGGCAAACAAAAATGCAGGCCTCGTCACGAACATCACACCAATAAAAGATGTGATCCCGGCTAAAAGATCGACTTGATTAATCTTTTCTTTCAGAAAAGCAGCACCCTATAAAATTCGGTCTCAGTTAGCACTTACTCAAGCGATGAATACCTTCAAAATGACTAAACACTCACTAGAAAGAAGGTAGAGATCGGGCTGGTCGAGACAATCACAATTGCATCCGTCAGCACCATTTTCGACATTGCATAAAATTGAAGGTTGACGCCAACTGTTCCCACGACGCATCGAAGAAGCAACAGACCGCGATATTTTGATTCCACTACCAACTTTCGCTTCTTGTAGCGAGCCCAAATCTGTGTCATCACCAAAATTCTCATGATTAGTCGACAAAAAAACTACAAGGAAGCTAAACTCACGTAATTAAGAACAAGCGCAATGACCATTCTCCAGAAGACTGTTTCGTGTGATGTCACACGATGACTCGCGTACTTGATGCAGATTGATGCAAAACTGAAATTTAATCCAGCAAAAACAATGAACCCCAGTCCTTTTGCTCGTGTCATACGCAGCAAATTCAATCTCTTAATTATACTTGAAGCTCTATCAATTTCACTTTTGTGAACGTTTTCGGGTTCTGAGGCTTGCAGCAGAGGCTGTTCTTCGTTTTCAGCATCACCGGAAACTTTGGTTTTCGATTCTGGAGCTCGACGTGGAGCATCGGGTGGAAGTGGTTGCACCACACCAGATCGATGACTACTTGGAGCCATGTTGTAAAATGATAAACGTGATCCTGGATTCGGATAGCAAACCTTCTCGCTGATTGACTTGTGAGCTTTGAATATAACACCAAAAGTTCAAAACTAGAATACAATGCATCGCTAGTCTTCACACTATTTATAAATTCTTTGACTGGTTGAGGTGACAACGCTCGAAATATCTGATGGCGTTTTTATCGCTTCTCTGTACAAATTCGTTTACGCATAATATTGAAGCGATGACAATAGCTAAACAATTGCTTTCTAAAATACAGTTTTCAATGGTATCAGTTATTAGAGTAGATCTTGTCCCTACGGCTCTTCGAGCTGGATCTTTTCACCTTTGCCGAAACAAAAAAAAAAAAAA